GTGCGTGCCTGGGCTGAGCCCCGTCCGGCCCCCTCCGCAGATGATGGGATCCCCGGTCCAGGCCTCCAAGTCTTTGCAAGCGCCCGCGCTCCCGGCTTGCTGGAGTGGCCTTGCTCGCCATGCCGTGTGGCTGGAGGGGAGGCGAGCCCCAGCCCTGAAGCGGCTGGGGCGCTGCTGCTCCTTGCGCTTCAGCTGTTTGCCCACCTCCTCGTGTGCTGCTGTGGCCTGGGAGTGAAGGGAGTTGCTTTCTCTCTTCCTTCCCTGGCCTTGAAGAGCACCTAAGAAAGCCTGGGAACTGGGAAGGAGGTATCCTCGCTTGTCAGCCCTAGGCACCTGCCGAGCGGATGAGATTCGTTTCAGACAGGTGACATTACAGGAGGAGTCGCTGGGCTTGCTTGATCAGCGGTAGAAGGCTCAGATGTGGGCAGAGCATGCAGTCAGGCATTGGTCTTTGAGGGCAGGCGCTCTGCTGCCGGGATAACCACCACGGTGTTATTGATGGCATGCACAGGTGTGCAAATGGTGAGGTTGTGAGTAACCCTGAACGGAAGGGTTAGAGATGTGGGTGAGGTTTTGGCTGTCTGAGTTACACCTATGGTATCTTTTACAATTACATACTGCGAAACAGGAAGATTTTGATCTCCCGTCAATATTTGGCGTGGCAGAATGACAAGAGTTGAAGATCATCCCTCCCTCCTGTTTTTCTGTTACAAACTGGCTAGAAAGAAGGGAGCTAGAATGAAAAATGACAGAAAAGAGGTTGATATGAAAAGGCTTTCAGATACTTAAGAGAGTTTTTAACCATAATGAAAGCATGGTGCTGTTTCTAGGCAGCCTTGCAGAGCTGTCAGACAAGCAAGGATGAGTCTGGCCAAGCTTCAGTAGCAGAAGAGTAGACCTGAGCATTATCTGTGGTCGTTGTTAAGTGTGCTTTTGTTATCCCTACATTAGGACTGCTGCCTGTAGAGAATATCAAGGGAGAAGGGAAGGAACTTAAAATTTCATACCCTGTAAAAGAGAGGAAGACCAGAATGTGCCAAAAGGTGTGCCAAAATTACAGGGTAGGAGATACCCAGATTTTTCTCCCTAATCTTACCTAGTGACCAAGTTTCAGGAACTAAGGGAGATGTCATGGAGTTGGTGATAACGTCAAGTACTGCAGAGCTCAAGAAGGATGAGACCCTCTGTGTTGTGTCCAAATGTGATCGTTGCTGCTGTCCACATGCAGCTCTAATGGCATAGCTACAGATTTCAGTGTTGTGTCAGATGTCCCTGTAGAGTTACTGTTTCATACGAATAGCTGTTAATTTTGCAGTTTGTGGGGTTTTGTACTGCTGATGTAAATTGAGTGCATGTATGACAGTAAAAATCCTTTGTTTGGCTGTTTTAACGTAAATAATATTCTCTCATCTTCAGCCATCAAAAATATAGAGCTATTCTGAAGAAAGAAAAGCGAAAAAAAAAGCGGCAGGCGCTTGCCAAACTAAGAGACTCAGGTAACTCTGAAGTGTTTTGTATTGTCAGTGGAACTAGTAGCGAGTCTTTTTTTTCTTTTTTTTTTCCTTTTCATTTTTTAAAAGGATATAATTTTGTGTATCTTTGCTGACTATAACATCCAGTTATTTAGATGCGTTGTTTTGTGTTTTTTCTCAGAAGCTACAGAAAAAGATGAATCGGTGTCTGAGGAGGAAGAGGAAGAAGTGGAAGAAGAGGAGGAGGAAGAAGAAGAAGAAGAAAAAAAACTTGAGGCAGAAAGGTGAAAAATCTAGAAAATGGCGTATATGCAGTAGATACATTTGTAGTCAATTCCATTTTGATACTTTGAAAAGTTTCAGTATATTCTGTAAAATAGAATCCTTTTTGAATTGTATGCATGACAATGGCATCGGTTGTGGGTAGTCATTAAATTTTGTCTAAGTGGTATCTGGTTTCCTTGGTAGACAAAAACTACATGAGCAGTGGTTGCTGAGAGAAGAAAAGGCCCAGGAAGAGTTCAAGCTTAAGAAAGAAAAAGAAGAGGCTGCAAGAAAACGTCAAGAAGAAGAAGAGGTGATGTATAAACTGAGCGTTACTGTTGTGCCTGGCAATAAGGTAGACTTAGTGTAGTATTTTTTACTGTTCTGTAGCGGACCCAGTTTTCTTGATGTTGGTACGTTTGAAAGCATAAGCTCTTCTTTCTTCCATTCTAGAAGAGCAAAACTGGAAAAAAAAAAAAAAGACTCTCTAAAAGGGTTTTTGTCCAGAGATGTAGTTGCTTATGACTGGATGAAAACTTAATGGTCAAGGAGTTGTAATACAATGTGGTAGTGTTTTGAATTTGACTGATTATAAAGCATTTGTTTCCTTAAATAATTTTTTAAAATATTTTTTTATCATAAAGAGGAAGATCAAAGAAGAATGGGAAGAGCAGCAAAGAAAAGAGAGAGAAGTGGCACAGCAGAAGCAACAGGAGAAGAGAGAGAGAGAGGTGATTCCTGGCAGTGGGAGGATAAACATGTTACATATCCTCTTACATTATCAGATGCAACAGTCTGCATGTTGAAGAGGGATTTTGTTCAAATTAGCAAACGTATAAATGTGTTAGTTACTTCTTTCCATTCTGTCTAAATTCCTGAAACTGTTACTCACTGTTAAAGAGGATCTAGTGAATCCATATGCCTAGAAGGGTAACTAGTTTTAACGCATCTGGTTGTTCGTAGTATGTAATTTTTTACAGCAGTTAAGTACAAAGGCATGCTGTGAATGCAGGTTCTGATATGTGCATTTTTTTGCATCATGCGTTAAAGATAATCCTTACTTAATGTCCCAGCTGAACATAGTCAGTGTTGAAGAAAATGCCCAATGAGGATATGGAATACGGAATTACATTGCTGCTGTTCCTTAACACAGTTCTTAATCAAAAGATATATTACAGCTCTTCTTTACCTGACTCATCCAACAGGACGTATCTTTTTTTCAGAGCTCCTTGGGTGGAGGAAAAAAATGATGCTGAAGATACTAGTCATTGATAACATTTCTGTTAACAATACATTCTTCTTAAGTTTTAGAAGTTGAATGACCTGGATGTGAGATGTGCTGTACAGAAATCCAATGTGAGGACTGGCCTATTGCCAGTAAAGGGTGATTGCAGCTTTCTAGGATCCGGTCATTTTAGCTTCTCCACAATCACAAAAGATTCCAGTCATTTCACTGGGAGGTGTCTTGCTACTCTGTCTGGTAGCCACAGCAGGAGAAGAGACAGGAGCAAACAGTATTGTCTCCTGCATTTAATAGTTGGTTGTGTCACTGATTGTGTAAAGCTTGCACAAGGAATGAAAAAGAACAGCAGTTGTTGTATTTCCTGTCTTACTTCCTCTTCTGTGGAGTGTCTGTTTCTCTCTTCGCAGAGTAGGGAGAGAAAATGATGGTCGCGTCCTTTATTTAAGGTTGAGATATAGTTCCAAGAGAGCTGAACCATGCTAACAGCAGGATTTTGTTCCTTCCCTCTCCTTGTGTCTGGGTTTGTCCAAGCCCTCAGTGGGCTAATTTGGTTCCCTGAACTAGATGGAAGCCGCTTGTTGGTTTGTTTGTGTCGGTTTTTTTCTGGGTTACTATTTTGCTGGTTTAGTGAGCAAAATTGGCTCACAGAGGGCATTGACAGGCACCCAGAGGGAAACCGAGTACCCAGCTGGAAGCGGAGCCACCCATTTCAGCAGCGGAAAGCTGTTCAATTGATTTGGCCTGTCTCTTGAAATGGCAGTTTATTCAAATTCTGACTTACTGATTAAAAAAATATTTTTTTTTTTCCTCCCTGAGATGAGAAAATAGATTTTCTGGTTTGATGGTTTTGGTTTTCTATCTATCTATTTATTTATTTAATAGGGTGGATAGTATCTGACATACTTGATGATTAGTACCAGATGCTGTCTGGGTCCTCATCTTGGATTGCATTTTTTTATTTTTATTTGCTCTTCCTCCTTTTTAATTTAATTAATTCTCTTCCAAATTAGAACAGTACTCGCGTATTTTCTTGTATTGGTTATGTTTAAATGTCTTTTTTTCTTGGAACTTCCTAGAATAATTTGTTAGAACTAATTTCCAGCCAGGTCTGGAGAGTGACTTTATTGGTTTGCTCAGCCCACTTAGAAGAAGGAAGGGAAAGAGTATCCTTATTGTTTTCCTGTATTTGGAAGGCTAGATAAAGTGAACTATGATATTAAAGTTTCTTAAGTTTTAAGTTTTGCTTTAACAGAGGCTCACTAAGCAATGTGTTTTTCTGTGTTACATAGAACATTCTAAGTTAAAAAGTTTAGTGCAACTAAATGACTATGAATTGAACTGTAACCAGACTGAGTACTAGAGCAGGAGATATATTTAAGTATTCAGTAGTTCAGTGATAGTTTTAAAAAAGAAGAAAATGAAACTTTCTAAGTTGTCTAGCATTTAGATTAGAAAATCATCTACATGAGGGTCTTGTCTGATGTATCCTTTAACAGCTTTGTAGTACGTGAATTGCTACAGAGCAAAAGAAAAACTTGGTTTTTAAAGCAAACCCCATCAAACTTTTATTACGCATAATCATTGAGTATTGTAAATTAGGTTCTTAACTAAAGAAACCAGATGTTTTGCGTGTCCTCGGGGTTTTCACTAGTCCTGTGTTTGCACCATTTATAGGCAGCTGTGCAGAGGATGCTGGATCAAGCTGAAAGCCAGGTATGCTCAGAGACTTTTTGAAAAAGAACTGAAAAGTAATTTAATTGCCATCCGGTGTTTGCCTTCTAGCGTGTTGTCCATCTGCTCTCAAGAACTTAATGGCCTGAATAAATTTAATATGAAGTGGCTTGCATGAGCTGTAAACAATTATTTACTGGGTGGAACATAATTAAGCGTATTTCTGGCTGGTTGGTGGCAGTGCAGTTGTGCATACTCATTCCTGTTCAGGAGATCTGAGTTAAAATACTGCTGTGTGCTGTTAAAAAAACACTACGCATGATGGTTTATTTGTGAATTAGAATTCTAAATAAATCTGTCAGTCCTTCTGGGTGGCAAGACAAACTTGTATTTTTAAGCAGATGGCAGGCTCTAAATAAAAGGATTCAGCAGTAGAGGAGGGCACAGATCCTTAAGAAGGAAAAAAAAAAAGGTGGGGGAGGGAGAAGCTGACTGCTCTGGTGCCTGGAAGAGCACAGATCTCAAGCTGGCAGTGTGTAGTAAAGAAAACTGCAGTCTTCATTTGAATCTTAGAGAGGATGAACTCAGCCTTTCCTGTTGCCTTAAAGAATAATTTGGCTTTTTATCCCTGTCATATGGTTAAACTTGTGAAGACTCTTGCTCTGCTTAAGCCACTGCATGAATCTGAAAATTAAGTTTTAACTTAATTAACCCGTTGTATGTTGATTGCCATAGCTACATTGGAGTAGCATTCAGTTCCAAATCATGCTTAAACAGTTTTTTAGGTAGGGAATCTTAACTCTTTTATTTCATAATATGGGTAGAAAAATGCTCTGAACTATCACCTGCCCAGAGCTCAAGATGTATTAGCAGCCATTTCTGCAAGGGAATAGGCAGAAATGTGGTATGTTAGAAACTTCATTATGGTATCAGTTCAGGGGTCAGTTACTTACTGTTGAAGTGACAGTGCTGTTTTGTTGAAAGAAAATTATGGCTGAGAGTCATGAACAGAACTGGTAGCAGGGTCAAATGCTGCTTGTAAATAAACAGAGTTTTCAGTTGATTTAAAACAAGAACTTAGACCTGTAAAGCTGACTATCCTTTTGGCTAACAAAATGAAAATTCCCGTTTTAAAATGTGTATTCTGTTTGTAGTCAGTCAGTGCTTGCAACTTGATAATTCCATTTGGAATTAAAGAAATCTTAATGGCCCGAGATGAGCAGTGTGGAGGCTTTTAATTCCAGTGCTAACTACGAATTTAATTTTTTTTAATTCTGGCCTTTGGCAGGTTACTTTTATTTTAGCCTTTTCTAGCTGCATAAAAAGTGATAGTGATAATCTTACTGAGCTTTGAGCTGTTGCAAAGACAAGTAAGTAAATAATCCTAGCTTTCTATCTGCCAGGTGTATAAAGCACTGCTCAGTGGGTCCTGGAGTGAAGTAGGTAACGGGCTTGCCTGAATGGAAGGAATCTGTCCCAATATTTGTAATTCTTGTAGATGACAAATGAAATCGTTTGAGGAGCAAATATTATTGCAGCTCTTTTGGTTATAAAATCTTAAGCTTTTCCTTTAGCAAAAGAAAACATCCAGTTTGTGATTTTTTTTGTTTGTTGTTAAAAAGAAATCATGAATATAGACTTGTTCTTAAAACTGAACAATTATCAAGAAAAGAGGTTTTCCTCACCAGAGACCTAAGGCACTGGGCAGCTTTATAAAATAATGCTTAAAATAGGTTCAGCTTGCCTTGTAGTAACACAGTGCTCATAATTGCATGTGGATTTAATTGGTAGTTTTATTTTGACGTTACATTTCTTTATTCTTTTCTAACTTCTGTGTATCTTAATGTTTTTTCCACAGCTGGAGAATGGTGTGACCTGGCATAACCCAGAGCCCCCCGAGAATATAGGAACAGAGAAGGATAGAGCGAATTGCCCATTCTATATTAAAACAGGTTCCTGCCGATTTGGAGATAGGTAATCAATTGAATACTTACCAGCATAGAAGTGTTTTGGAGAGGTGAAAGGGAAGCAACTTCATTAGGTCGTATGCAAACTGAAGAAAAATTGCTATATGAGTTAGTTTCATGTATTTGGATGTGGTTCGGTTTTTCATGATGGAACGAGACCTTGAGAGCAAAAGCGTTGCCTGGCTGGAATTGAACTGTTTATTGTTATAAACGGCATATTATTGATGGTGCATTCTGGTTACATTGGTCAAACTGACTTTTCCTTAGCTATGACAGATGCACAGATACATTCAGACAGAATATACTTGATTTCTGCTATTAGTACAGGCCTGATATATCAGATACTGTCTTTTATCTTGTTTAATTTGTATATGCTGCATCTTCTGAAAAATAAAATCAAATCTCAAATGGACTAAAGCAAATTAAGGTACATCTGCACAGTTGAGAAAGCTGCTGTGTAGCTCCCAGAATTCTCCTGTTTGTTTACTGTTTAAATGTGTGATACGTTCATTCTTGATTTTTTTTTTTTTTTTTAATACTCTTACGGGTGCCCTATCTCGGAAAGGAAGTATAGTAAAAGGCAAGAAGAGAGAAGGACGAGAAGATGATCAGAGATGAGGAACAGCTTCTGTAGGAGGAGTGGCTAACTAGTCTAGACTCTACTTTCAAAGAGATGTGGAAGAGGGCTGTGGTAGATGAACATTGAACTCATGAGTAGGATGGGGAGGATTATTTGCATTTACTATGAAATAGTTTAATTAGGTGTCCCTGAGTGTTTACCAGCTTTAAAAAAAAAAAAAGTACTTTCTCATATGAAAGAAATGGCAAAACTTGTTGCCAGAGGACTTAGAGGAAGCCAAAAGTATAAATGGATTCATGGAGTACAGGTTCATTGGTGACCATTACAGATGATGACCCAAATGCAGCATCTGGCTAGAAAATCCCTGAATTTTTGTGTGTGTTAAGGAGGAAAAATAGCTCAGCAGGGAAAGACTTGATACTTAGTACATGAATCTTCAGCATTAACTAGTAAGGCTATTTTACTAACTTGTATCACTGAAACATGTGTGGTCCATCTATTGCAGTTTTCTTTATCCTAGAAGTAATTTGTTTTAGTGTGATGTATATTGTGGATAATTATGTGATAATTCAACTCTGTGGAAGCTTCAAGTCCACATCTTTTCTCTATTCTGAAGTATGTGTTGAATTCCTAAAGAAAACTTTGGCCAGCTATTTCGCTGCAGGCAGCATTTTTGCTTTTCAAATGTTTAGTTCTTTGTAATCTTCACAGTATTTTTGTTTCAGTGGTTTTTAATGGAGGTTACCTCCTTGGATTAATAATGGCTTGGATAAAAATCAGTTTTGCTTTGAACTATGAATAGGCTTGGTAGATAAATACTGAGAAACATCATATTCTGCCCTTCTCTCACCTGTGGTTGTCGATCTCAGCTGCCTCTCCTTTGTCTTCCTTCCTCCTCCTCACATACCTGCTTCCTTCATATGCTGGTCACTTTAACCTCTGGTGTTGACATTAAATTGAAGGACTGAGATACAGCTAGGATAAGGACTGGAAGAATGGGTTGGAGGCTGAAATGGACCACAGCAGTGAAAAATTGAGAGCCGGTGTTATCAATAAAGTAATTGTTGAATCTTGTCAAAGCTCACTATGTCTCGAAGAAGCTAAAAGTGGCTGAGTTCACTGTTACTAATTTCCCCAGTAATTCAAACACTAATATTTTGTAGTAATACTGGATTTTGGGTCATTCATTTTCCTTGGGGATCCTTTTGTTCTGTCATGTGCTATATTCATTTTTGTACAGACAATATTGGTTGGGTATAATATTTTGAGTTCTATCATTCAAATAGAACAGTGAAATGAGGCAGCTTCTAAAATGTAAAAAAAAAAAAAAAAAAAAAAAAATTAATTTGTGTCTCCAGTTTTAGTTTTGGTGTTTTGTTTTTTGAAGTCTAAGGTGCCAACCAGAAAGTGAGAGTCAATTTCTGACTGACTGGATGCAGAAAGAAACTTCCTATCTTAAGTCTAGGTTGTAATTGCCCATTTTGAGACCTGACCTCCCTCCAATTTGTCTGTGCTTTGCCAGTGCTAGATAAAGAGAGTAGACTAGTCTGACTATTTTTCTGATCATGTCATGAAAAGGAGAGATGTGTTGGAGAGTGCATGACCCAGTTGCTCGGGGAAGTGTTTGAAATGGAGATCATAAAGCACAGTGAAATAAACATGGAGGCTAACATCTATGTTCTTACTGAATCTGAAGGTTTGTGGGGAAGAACCGTATTTCAGCATGTGAGGGAGGCAGCCTGAATATGATGGATGGTGAGGGAGATCGAATACTTTTATGGCTGCCGAGAAGATGCAGATTAAGATAAGACTTACTTACAAGACGCATTTTTTTAGAAGTGGAAAAAATACCGATCTCGGACTCGTCCAACTTCAGGTCTAAACGTGTTTTCCCTCCCTCCCCATTCCCCCATATGATGAGAACAACTTCAGTAAAAGTTGTTCAGTTTGCAAAAAGAAGAGCAGGGATTTGCTTTAAAACGTCTTAAAAGATTGTCAGTAGTCTTTCTGTAAAGCCCTTCAGAAATAGAGAACACATTTAACCCCAGTAGCCTAAAAGAAATTACTTTAGCTCTTGTTACTGGTATCTATAGCTTTTGCAGACGTGCCTTTTTCAGCAAGAATGTACTTATGCATGACAGAAAGTGTTAAGATTATACGCAAACTCACTTCCAAAGATTTGTTTTAATAATTGAAATATGTTGATCTTCCACTAATGGATTTTTTTTTTGTAATAGCTGTTACTCAAAATGGCAAGTGTTTGAAGTTTCAACAAGTGCATCTTCTGCTGAAAGTGCCAATCTTCTCACTTTTCTTTCTTCACTATAAATGTCCAGGTGTTCTCGCAAGCATAACTATCCAACATCTAGTAAGACACTACTCGTCCGAGGGATGTTCATTACTTTTGGCATGGAGCAGTGCCGGAGAGATGACTATGACACGGACGCGAGTCTCGAGTACAGTGACGAGGAGACCTACCAGCAGTTCCTGGAGTTCTATGAAGACGTGCTCCCCGAGTTTCAGAACGTGGGGAAGGTTGTTCAATTCAAGGTATGCATCTGAGTGTAATAGCTTGTTAAATATGTAACATATACCCCGTAAGTTGTGTTTTACTAGCCTTAACAGGAATTGTGTCCAGCATGCCCTAGCTAAATGCCATGTACATGAGAGAACTATACAGTGTCCTTACAGCAAAAACTGGTGCATCTCTCATGTCACCAGTAAACTTGGCACTGCTGTTACAGAGCATTGTCTTACTCTGGGTGAATCTTCTCTCCCGTTCCCCCTGAGCTGTTATAAAAGCTTGTGCTTTTATATTGCAAGTTATTCATACTGCTCAACAGTCGACTTACGTCACAGTCCTTTTTTTACTTAGCCCGTGATAAGCCCCAGAGGGTCAGCTAAGACTGTTAGACAATATAAATATATCTGGGCTACTGTATTTGTGCCTAAGGAATGAAATAGTGGGGGTATAAAATGTATTTGAAGTGTACACCCAAACAATGTCATTTTAGGACTGGTTGGATAAAATAAAATGTAATGACAATGAACTGAAAAGGTAGTAGATATTTCAGTAGGAGGAATTGTAAAAAGGTAAGTTACGTAAATGGTGTAGCAATTTGTCATCCATCCGTAGTTTCTGCGTTTGGTTTGCTGAATGTTCTTTGCTGAATTTTTCCCATTTATATTATAATTTCTTATGGGGGACCTGTAGATGGAGACCTTGGAGATGAATGATGTGTGTTAACCATCCCATGTTGCAGCTTGGATGGTGAAATCTCCTTGTAGCAGAACCTACTGCAGCATCCCTTTCTGCTTGCCATTTCTGAGTGTTTTCCTGCAGTCACCAGGAGGCACGCAGTGCCTTTTCTCCTTTTGTTTCCGTCTACTGACAGCTGCCTCAGAACTGAGACTGTATTAGCATTTCAAGCAAGAGGGAAGTAGAAAAAGTGAATTTTCAATAGTCGTATAATGAGCTTTATAGATAAGAAACCTTCACTTGTTTGGAGGATTATCCCCTCCATATTTTGACTCACGGGATATTAGCAAGCTGTGCTCCATCCTAGAAGACGGGATGTAGATTCCCAATGGAGCGTGGGTTGAAATGCTGTGTTACCATCAAACTCAGATCCTCGACTTTGTATCGTTGTTATATGCAGCTGTGCTAAGTTGCACATACTTGGATCCCTATGACTAGTAACGGGGCAAGAGTTTTTGGTGTGGCATTTCTTAGCTTCTGAAGTAATTGTGCAACTGTAATACGATTCCCATGGGCATTTTCATTATACTAGAGATGCTTAGAAATTACATGTTGGCTGCAGGGATCTTAGCTGTGACTGAGTTGAGTCTCTGCTACCGTTTAGAATCAGATTATACACACCCCTCTTCCAGCTGACTTCCCTTTCCAGTGTAGCCCAAGGTTTTATTCTTGCTTTTCTTTCTGGGAAGCTACTCCAGAATCCTTACAAAACACACTTCTTTTCCCAGCCAAAAGTGTCCATGGTGAAATCATTCTTGCTTCTTCTTGTGTTGACGTTGTTTATCTCAAATAGTTTGACTGCTTATTCGGTAAAACTTAACTATACAACTGCTTGTTGTCGTGTCTGAAGCCCCTGCCTAACCCGGTGCACAGAGAGGTATTCTCTGAGGGCCAGTCAGGGTTCAGTGATGAAAGGAGCCACTTGCCTCATTTGGTGCGGATATGGGAAGAGGCCTGGGGGCAAAAGAGGCTGGGCTCACGGTTCTGCCCTGGAGAACTGGGTTCTAGCCTGCTTGGGCCTGCCTGTTTCAGAATCCTTTGTAACTAGCAACAAGCTTTTTGGAAGTTAAAGTGTGTGTTTTTGAGAGCTTTAGATACACTACTTTGAATGCTAAATTATGAAAAAAAGGTGTTTCAGAACTGTACAGTGAAAGCTAGTGACTTCAGCATCTCACAGGGATGCTGTGAAGCGAAATTGCTCTAAAGATTCTCTTACCATGATGAATCCCGCATTTCCACATGAGGATACTACTAATTGTTTTCAGAGCAGGATTTGGCTGTCGCACAGTAGGGCTGGCCCAGACAAGTGCGAGACAATTGAGTACAAGCTGTCTTGTGGAGTGAGTGAAGCAGAGGTCCCAGTGTTAATCAAAGCATAATGCTGGAAACAGTCAAACATAAGCCAGAAGGGCTTTTTTTTTTTTTTCCCCCTTCAAAACCTTTTATTTGGCTAAAACTAAGTGTTCAGAAGAAAATCACATGTAAGTTCATGTTGATGAGCTGTCAAATATCGGAATGGCTGCCATCTCCACGTGCATGAGCTGCTGTATAGCATAAACCACCTGTTGCACTAACTTAATGTTTCCATCCCCTTAGGTCAGTTGCAACTATGAGCCTCACCTGCGAGGAAATGTGTATGTCCAGTATCAGTCGTAAGTACTTGCAGTCTTACTAAGTTTTAGCACTGTGAACACTGTTTGTATAATCCAAGTGATTCGTTCCCATACTGTAATGGGAGCCTAGAATTGGTAAGTAACATCTTAAATGATTGTATGACGATAATGTGATGTGTGATTTTTACTTTTTAAAGGGAGAAGGACTGTCAGGCAGCTCTTGCCTTATTCAGTGGACGATGGTATGCAGGCCGACAGCTTCATTGTGAATTTTGTCCTGTGACAAGGTGGAAAACTGCTATATGTGGTGAGTCACATAAACACTTGGAAAAGAGAATGTGTTTTATTGAAAGAGTACTTACGGAAGTGAAAAAGAGGGAATTAGCCTGTAGCTTTCAGATCTGCCTAATGTTGCAGTTCATTTCTGTTTGGAAGACAAATGTGCTAACTTGCTTGTGTAGATCTAGGAAAGAAAGGGAATATCCATACCATGTCACGTAAGCGTCTGAATCATTCTAGTGGATTTGCCTTGGACTGGAAAAGAAAGTTTGGATCCTAGCTTTGGAAATAATAATCTTAAGGTGGAACTACAGGAAGTAGTAATTTATCTCTTTAAAAAGCAACAGCAGTTTCTGAACCATCAACAGTTCTTAGCAGTAACTATCACATTTGACTTATCTATATTTACGTTCTTAGATTAAGGTAGTAAAATTATTTATGAAAATCGTTTTAAGCTAAAACCTTCACAGGTGTTAAAAAGTTAATTCCAAGAAAAGTACATATTGAAAAATAATCTTGCGTGAATTAAATCGATCGGTGGTCAGATGCATGTTTTCCTGTTTGAAGAAGCAAAATTCAGTTTAGTAAGTTTTTTTCCAGTAGGTACATAATGAAGAAAGAGATTTAACGGGTCCGGTTCATAAAAAAGCAAACCCTAATCTGTTGCAGGCTTATTTGAAAGGCAGAAGTGTCCAAGAGGGAAACACTGCAACTTTCTTCATGTATTCAAAAATCCAAACAATGAGTTTTGGGAGGCCAATAGAGACATACGTATTTCTCCTGAACGGACTAATCAGTTGTCTAAAAACTCTGAAAGGAGAAACAGAACGAGCCATCGTGATGACTATTACAGCCGGTCAAGGAGAAGGGGCAGCCCAAGCCCAGACCATTCTTACCGCAGAAATGGAGAATCTGAGAGAAAAAAGAATCGCCGCAAAAACAAGAGGAGGCGCCGGTCTGGCAGGTCAAGAAGTCGAGAAAGGAGGAGGTCTCGCAGCAGGGGGAGAAAGAGGAGAGGCCGCAGTCGCAGCAGAAGTCATAGTCGAACACGCAGTAGGAGCAGAAGTCGGAGTTCCTCTCGATCCCGGAGCAGGGGTAAAAAGAGATCGAGCAGCAGAGGAAAAAATAGTGAAACTCCCAAAACAAAGTGAGAATTACTTTTAGAAGTTGCTAATTGATCAAACATAGAGCTGACAAAGAAATCTTTCCAGTAGGGCACCAGTTATATTTGAGTTTCAAATAAAGTGTTCTTGCACATTAAAATGTTTCTTCCTAATAAAGGAACCTAGTTTATTGTGTGCCGAGCTTCAGAAAATTAAAAGTTTAAGTCCTATATAAGGTGTGAATGTCAAGTACTCTAGCTATTCTGTCCCTCTGAACTGCTGCAACATCTGGATGCATACCGAGTACAAATAGAAAGAGAAGTAAAGCTTATTTGGTATATGCTTATTTCTGTGTTATGTGTGTGTTAAGTGTTTACTGTCCCTGTAAGGAGTTAGTACAGAACAGCCAGTGTGCTGTAAATTCACACCACAGCGTACTGCAAATTGAAGTCTGTGTAGAAGACTGCCATTTATATTTTCCGTCTGTTGATGAGAAAGCTCTTTCTAGACAAAGTAAATATAATCATGAGTTGGAGAAAAGGGATCTAAAAGGCATCACTGTTTGATTGTACAATGCTTGCCCAGTAGGAGCTTTGTGGTCATAAGTCTTGGATTTTTCTCTCTCCCCTGACTGAGCTGCTGAGCTGATTGCCTGTAGGGATTGCGGTAGACTAAAACCAAGTAGGAAGTACACAGAAAAACAATCCATTTATTCAGTACCTTAATCTTCAAGTAAGAGTGGAGACCTTGCACTTGTAATCCTCGAGTGAGGATAGAAAATACTTTGCATACCTCTTGGTTGCATACCATTTGTAGTTGAAAACAACCTGCCTAACCTGGGATGGAGCGGTGGACAAGCGTACATCTGGTAGCTGAAGATGCATATATGTAGTTGTGAAGGCTCAAGATGATTGCAGAGTGGCTAAAGAAACGGAAGGGTTTACACCTGAAACAATACTTAAGGTTTTTTGGAGAGGAGGACTTGACTTAAAGCCTTTTTAGGCTTATTTTACAAACAGTTTAAGGCACCCTACTGCCTAACTTCCCCACAGTCCAGGTGGAGAGTAGGGTACGTAAAAATGAAGTTATCGGGACAAAACCTTTTTGACGTGACAGCTGTATTAGCAAAGTACCTGCAATTAGATAAATCCTTACAGATATTTCTTCACTTTTAAATGAAAGACTTGTGCTGTTAGATGGACTGTACTTCACACTGCTTAACATCAGGTGTTTAACTTGGGCACCTAGGCGTCCTCAGACGCCTGGAGAGAGCAGTTTGTGGCACTGAAGGTGCAGGTGCCCTGAACGGTCTGCAGAGATACCTCCCTCTCTTTAGCCTCTCCAAAGAACCTGGGCTCCTGCCTTTAGAGTACGGTTCAGACCACCGAAATTAGAAGCCTAAAGCAGACACGAAGCGCTCCCAAACAGACAGTTGTTATGACTCCAACAATACAACATAAAGTCCCGTAGAAAATCTGGATATCCCAACTTTACGATAGCATTCCTCACAGCAAGAATGTTTTTCCCCCAGATAGTTAAGAGTGAATGAACATTGCTCCTGGATATAATATATATATTTTTGCTTTTCTAAACGCATACTGCACCTAGCATGCTGATTATACATTTTCCTTCTTTCATGTGTAACTGTTGTCCGATACGGAGTAGTACAACAAAAGTGCTATATATTGATGTTCAGTTCAAACCCGACTTTCACTATATATTGTCATAACTGTAGGCAGAATTGTAGCTTAGTTAATTTGATTAAATGTTTTAGTTATTAACAGATGTAGGAACTGTAATTTAATAGCATAACTTTTGAAATAATAACTTTGTTTGAAAGGCATCTTTCCAAGGGTAGACAGCACCAAGTTTTAAATTATATTTGAGAGATGTGTGACCGCCAGTTTCTCATAATGTCTCTTTTTCTGACTAGACCTTACAGACGGATTTTCCCCTGGGTTTCTATTTTTTCATAGATGCTCACTTGTCTAGTTGGGTCACTTGTGCAGAATGTGGCGAACTCCGGTTCAGTTCCCTGGAGCAGAATTGAACTGGCATTCCCTACTTGCGGAGACGCACCACCAACGGGCCAATGACATCTTCCTTTCACTGGTGCTGCCTTGCGCCCCCCAGCTCATGCTGGTCAGCTAGCCTGCTGGTTAAGGCTCTCGGGTGGAAGAGTTGACCTATGCCATCTGTAGTCCGTTGTACGTCCCGCGTCACGCTCTCTCTGAGCGTTATCTGAGCGAAACCCATTACCGGGCTCAAAGAGAAGCGGTGGAATGGGTGGTGGGAAGCTGTGACCAGTCGGGTGAAAGAAGCAAAGCAGACCGCTGTAGGATTAGAAACCAAGTGCCGACTAAGACCCATGTGAGAATTCCACAGGTAATATCGGGCTCCTTGTCCCCACGGTTTTGTAATGGGATCTGGGAAGCTGAGCTGCTGTATTTTTTTAAAAAAAAGTTCTTAAAAAAGACGACTTGCTCAGAGGTGCATGTAAAAATTTAAATATACTTTATTTCTGCTACTATAATGGCTGAAGCTTCAGCTTTTTTTTCTTGAGGTCTGGACCCGAACTTACTGGCTGGGGGCGGGGCGGGGGGGGGGGGGGGCGGCGCAGGTGCGGAAGCGGGGACGTCC